AAGAGGTGAGTGAAAATGTCCCGGGTCCGTGTATTTATGTATGTACTGTACAGTGGCGGGGTACGTGCATGTATTATGTACTGCACAGTGGCGGGGTGCGTGCATGTATGTATGTACTGTACGGTGAAAGCCGGAAGCTAAGCAAAAAGTTTAAGCAAAAATTTTTTTTGGTAACTTTTAAATGACTTATTAAGTAAAATTGGTCTGTTTACACAACAAATTGTTGTGTCTCATGTTCACTGGACAACTTGATTCTAAATAGTCTTCTTCCTATTCCAGAGTTTTCTGGTTTTCACAGATTGTTTCTTCAAGCCGGTGAGACCGTAAAGTATAACACCAACAGAAATGTAAATTAAAGGGATAGTTCGCGAAAAATGAAAAGGGGTATAGGCTAACGTCGAATCGAATTCGAAGGTCATCGCGCTACTAATCTTTCTTCTATCTGTTTCGTCAATAAGGAGAAAAGGGTTAAAATTAAAAACGACTCATACAAATAGTCCTGATGTTGAAAGATTGTATTCCGCATTCCCTTTTCCTGTAAATAATTTTAGCTTTTACTGTTGCTTTGAAAGTCGGCCATTTTTAATCATTTTCGGATTTTGTCGGATTTTTCTTTTCCCAAAAAAAATTCTATAAAGTAGTAATCTCTGTCTGTTTGTTTGTTTGTACGTCCGATGACAACTCAGGAACCCCTGGACCGTATTGCCTCAAATTTCAATTGAGGAACGCTGTAAAAGTTTTTAGTTGAAAAGGTTGAGTTTGTTTTCAGACAAAGCTGAGTTCCCAAGAATATTGTTATAGGGATATTTTTGAGTCATGGTCAGACAAAAGTAAATACTGCATTTCTTAATTAATTTATGCAGAAATTTAGATTTGTGAAATGAACTTGGATTAAGTCACCAGTGGCCGAATTTAAAGAATTTGAGCGGCGGTTTAAATTTAAGCCGCGGTTTAAATATGGTTGGTTCAACTTAAAATTGTATCAAATGTTTCAAGATTTAAGCCGGCGCTTAATTTAAACCGGAAAATGAAACCGAAAGGAAAACGAAATTCCGCAAAAGTCCAAATGTTCAACAAAAATTGGTTTCCCGAAAATCTACTTGAATTATCAAGTACAATAGGTGGCAACAGAGAAATGAACAAATTATACACGACGTCATAAGTGTCAAATATAACAAGAAAAATGAAATTTTCTCACATTAGTTGACATGTTTTTCAAGATTAAATAAAAAAGTGTAAAAACAGAAAATAAGAATACATTTAATTGCCCTTATTTTATTGTAAGATAAGCACTTTATTCTAAATTTATCACTATCCCTAATAATTTTGTCGGACATAAAAACTGAATTGACGTCAGAATACAGCTGTACTGAGAATGTACAAATTTTACGTTGCCATCTATTGTACTAGAATCTATTTGCGAAAATCCACTTGGATGTGCTATGCTCCTTAAATTTAGCAGAATCAAACTATAAACGATTTTACAGTGGTTCCTAACCAATTAGTAAGTTGCCTTAATTGAAAAAAAGTGAAAAGAATGGAAAAATAAACAAATATACTGCTTCAATTTTACAAATATATGTAGAAGTCATGTAAAAACTTTACTCTTGCTAATCCCTGGATCTATCCGTATCTACAGGGTGTCCCAATAAACAACTTGTGTACAAGGTGTGCACCTTTTACGAGCTTTTTAAAATGTGGTCTTTGGGTCTTTAAAATTGACGGAGATATTTCAGATTACATGTTTTAAATGTAATACTAAATTGAATTTACGTAAAAACGATATAAAAGTGGTCACTTAATTCCCACTTTTATATTGAATTATCGCATAAAGAATAACTTAATTCCTTTTGGAAATCCCGTGGTTTGAAATAAACGGAGCTAACTAAAATCTTCCTGTACAACAAGCACCAGAAGGATATACTCCTCTGTACATAGTGTACAAAAATATAATATTTCATCTTGTCTTCCTGTACAACAAGCACCCGGTGGATATGCTCCCCTGTACATAGTGTACATAAATACAATATTACATCCTGTCTTCCTGTACAACAAGCACCAGCAGGATATACTCCTCTGTACATAATGTACATTAATATAATGTTACATCTTGTCTTCCTGTACAACAAGCCCCAGCAGGATATACTCCTCTGTACATAGTGATAAATACAATAGTACACCCTAGCTTCTTGTACAACATGCCCCGCCAGTGCCCTTGTACATAATTTGAAATTTGCTATAATCTAAACAATCAAATCTTTCCAGCTTTTTGTAAAAATAACATAACAAAAGTCACAAGATTACTGTACATTATACAACCAGGGTGGAGTATGAACTGTTAGTGAGTTGATCCTCAGCACCAACCAGCTAAACAGAAAATTTAATAGTCTCAGTGAAAGAATTTTTCCCTTTTTTAAGAAGATAATATAACCCAAATTAGACAGTTGTGGACAAATTTATTGTATTTTCAGAAAGGTAAACAATTCCAATATAGACAATCTGTTAAGGACATCAAGATACAGTCAAGATAGTTTTAACCCAACCTCGTCTCCAGTAAATCTGTTTATAAGCCTTGTACGACAATAACTATAGATGTCAACATGTCTGTCATGACAACTATCTAGGCTTAATCTGTCACGACAGTTGTCAAAATGTAGCCCGTCACGATTCTTACGACGGTTATGGCTGAATTCAATCTGTTAAAACAGTTGGAAATGTTAAAATGTAGTTCTAAATATGAAATAAACTAAATTGTATATTCAATATCTAACAATGTTGTTTAAGAATAAAACAAAGACCGTTGATTAAATAATAAACTTCTGACTGGGAGTAGGATAAAATAATTTTTAAGTGTCAAGCATGAAATTATACACAGCTGGGGATTGAAAGGATAATTAAATTACCCCCCCCCCCCCCCC